AAATATGTTAAAAGAGCCCCTCTGACCAAGAGATGTGAAGGAAACCACCCAAAAAAAACGTGATTCCCCCCCCTGAGTGCAAAGGGCTCTTAAATAAAAATTTTAAGCTACTGGACAGCAAACCAGAATAAGAGCAAGAACTTTTTTTTTTTTCCCCCTATACTCTGCTGTATAATACAGTGCAGTATAGGGCAGTCCAATCTGCCTTATTGATGGAGCCAAACAAAACGCGTGCATCTGCCCTCCACAAGTCCACCATGGAGCCATTTGTCCAAGCGCATTTTCCTCTTAGGTTCGAAACTGAATAATGTTTAGGATGCCAGAAACATAAATACCAGACAAAACTCATCAACAAAAAAAAATATTTATTCACAAAAAGCACACCGACGAAGTAGGAACAGAAATCGCTGGTCAACAATAACCAGGAAAAAAAATACATGAACAAAAAATGCTTGCAAAAGGCAAGGAAATAGTTGAACCGAGAAAACCAACAAAATGTTCAGAAGCCAATTACATGTAACAATCAACAACAAAGACAAACGACTAAATAAAAAAAAAAAGTACTTACTGACAAAAATGTTGAATCAAGAGACCAAAAACGACTATGACGAGATCAAGAGGTCTACAAAACAAACACTTGAGCATGAGCAGCAACAAGGTCCAATAATCTGACAAGCAGCAGGCAGCTATTCACTCCTAAAAATACATGGCTAATGGCTCAATTGGCATCAGGTGTGCACAAAGAAGGGAAAGCTCTCATCTGCCACCTGCTGGAGACACACAAGAACTGAATCATAACATTTCCAATGCTATTATTATCGTTAAATATGTTCATGTTTTTAGAGGACCCACAGGAAACAACTTGACATGCACAAACTGTTAACGGCTCTTGTGAAGAATACTACATTACTGTTGTTTGTGTACTTTTGCTGTGATTGGCAGCTCTTCAGTTCCCAGCATGCATTGCAACAACCAATGCGGATTTTTTTTTTCTGTAACGAGCACATTACTCATTAGCATTTAAGTGTGTTGATGTTACCTATGGTTCATTGAACAACATCGTCTTAATTGACTGTCAGGTAAAATTTATAGTGTGCCGTGATCTTGCATCAATACTAAATAATCAAATAACAGTAAGAACAGCAGCAACCGAACATTTCTTCTCATACCTTATGACAACAAATTCTTACGCCATCGTGTCGTCTAGTTCCCGCTCACCCATGAGCCTACTGTGAGGATAAGCAGCAAGAGAAATGGGCGAATTGACGTTCATACACATGCATTGGCTAACTATAGTCAAATGTCTTTGTGGCTGATAAAATTCCTGTGAATTCTCAATGGAAGTAGAATGGCCGGCCTGCCGTGAGAAAAAAATTTCATGTAACTTAAAAAAAAAAAGGCTGTTGTTAATGTTAAAAGGTGAAACAGGCTTACAATAAATGGGGCTTTCATGGCCCGGTTGGCCCAGGAACGTGTATTAGTAACTTGAAAATAAAAAGAAAGACAGTAATATTGTGGGTTTTATTTTTCTTTTAAATATATGTAATGGGGGTGGGGGGGTGGAGATGGAGCAATTATTTAAGCGTTAAGCTGCAAAATAGGTTTGAAATATTTTCTGAGTGCACTGTATGTCTTAGCCCAGACCATTGCGGTGTCTGTTATGTCACCAAATTTTTGTATGCACTTCAGCTCCCTGCAGCCCACAAACAAACAATTCTAACATTGGACTGGAACAGTGGTGATTTTTCCTAGCTTGAGGGAAGCTTTGGCGTTCAAGTCATAATGTCAAAAGCAACTGCTGTGAAAAAAGATTTTGTACGTCATAACTACGTCTAAGCTCTTCCTCCGGTAAGATGACAGGTCTACAACTTGTTGTCTCTCCAATTCCTACTTTAGTCCTACATGAGCAACGTTCTGACGCACAAAATGTCACAAGGCATTAACCTTCCTCTTTGTGTGCGTGTGTGCGTGCGTGTGCGTGTGTGTGCGTGTGCGTGTGTGTGTGTGTGTGTGTGTGTGTGTGTGTGTGTGTGTGTGCGTGTGTGTCATCACATACAGAAGAATGTCCGATTATTGCATTGAAGAATGGTGACAAAAAAATCTGCCCATGGATGCTATTGTATGTACTATACTGTCCTGCGCTTATTTTTTTAATTTGGTTCAAAGTGCAAGTGTTTTGTATCAGAAGAAAAATATTGTCAGAAACAACCAAAGTAGAATCTTCCCCAATGAAATATTTGGCTTTTCAATGATTTTCTTAGTGCTGTATGATCGATCCAATAGATAAGCAACCATTGCCACCCAATATCCAGTACTAGTAATGTCCAGAATTGGTGTTGCATAAGTGTTTGCCGCCACGACTGCGCTATGTGGATATGAGGACGTTATTGGAGAAGATTGAACCTTTCAAGCCGAACCACAACTGGCATCTCAGTCTGTGACTCCGCAATTTTTAATTTCACTGCGCTTCCGTCATCGCAAAATTACGGTTCGTCACTGCTCTTTTAGGACAGTCAGATCTTTTTCTGAGGCAACATCACATGGGCGACACCCAAAACCATAAGTAATTGTTTACAAAATATCAATCTTTTTAACAAAAGACCAAAACCATTACGGTTTAAATGCAAATATATACACAATTGTAAAATATTAGCCTCAAGCAAAGATTGTAGATTTTTGCTGTCACACGGCAACCTATTGAAGATAATACAAAGTTCGGAAGTTTGATATTTGACTTTAATTTTCATTTTGAAACACAAAGCATAAAGTGGACATTTGTTGTAATCGTAATAATTCTGATGGTGCATTTGTGACACGCTTCAGTGACGTGACGAGATCTTGAGCAGACGTCTCCATGAAATGATGAGATAGAGGAGCCACCGTCTCATAACTCCAAAACATTTCTAGCTCCTCCCTCTTCAGTGGAATTGTCGGTGAGAGGTGCAAGCATGTCTACGGGTTCCATCTCATTATTCAATTCTGATTAAATTTCCCATAGCTGCCTACTCACAAAACGTGCTGGCTTCAACTGTGGTGTCATGCATGACGGCAGATTGATTTCTGGATCATTGTGCCACTTTCAACGTGCATTTTTTTCCTAAAAATCTTTGTGGCATTCCAAAATGTACGACTTCAGTTTTGAGGTCCGATACGACTACGCAGTGGCGGGCCGTGCATTTCAACCTTAGGCCTTCAGTGACATCACATACATGAACACAATACTGTATAGGCTCGTCAAGCAACACTTAATTTCAGGAGCATTTAAAACCATCAAGTATGCATTCACAATTAAGAGCAGGAAACTAAATTTACAGATCGTCAAAAATAAAAAGGTGATTTTAAAATACGAAATAAAATGCCACCCAAATTACGCTGTGTGATCTTAAAGTAAGTCTGTCCAATAAATTGCGCAATGTCTCAGTTTCATATAAGACACCAACCAAACAATAACAAAACAAACTATTCTTTGAAAATAAATAGATCATTTGCATTTTGAAAATCAGCGATACAATAGCAAATAAGTGAAAATGTTGAGCAGCTGAGATTGACCGAACTTTCGTGCACAAAGGTGACTACAATGCACCATTATAAATTGCAGGTGAGCAGATTTATTTGATACATTTTTGTATCTTTGTCATTTTATTTCGTTACCATGAATTTAATACTAACGAAATAAAATGACAAGAAGAAATGTAAAATAAAATTCATTGACTCACCAATGTAGTTCTCCACAGCGTCTGCTTATTTGAAAATAAAGTCGAAACGCCTTTCTTTTCTCAGGAACACTTCAGTGGCTCTGTTGTACAGTTTTCAGGTCCATTAGCAAGTCCTTTTC